GGCATCATTGATGGACTCAAGTGTGGCAGCGGTAGTGAGGTTGGCCCAGGATCGGACATTGTTTCGTTCTGCTGTGCATGGGGTTGCTATGAGTCGGTTCCGACTTGGTGGCACCTGACAACAACAACAACGACAAAGCAAATGGAAGAAAAGATGAATTGAAAGAGCTAAAATACGATTCCGTCAGGCAATTTGAAATCACAAAGCGAAGTTATAATGTAATGTGCAAAGACTTGGATTAAAGCAATTAAAAGGGGAAAAAACACTCGGCATTTCTCAAGCTAAAATAAGTGAAGGAAAAATTCAAGCTTTGAATTTCAATACTGAAGGATTCTGTGGGCAAAATAGGTCTCCTAGTGTGGCTCTGCAGGATTTGCACTGGATGGTGAACCACAGGGTCGGCAGTTCAAACCCACCAGCTGCTCCTCGAAAACCCTATACACAGTCGCATTGAATCAGTACCAACTTGATGGCACTTAACAACAAAATGGGCAAAATGTTGAATGACACAGAAAGCATCAAAAGAAGAGGGAAGAAATAAGTCACTGTAAGTTGGTTGATGTTAGATCATTTCAGGAGATGGTCTATAATCAAGAATCAAAGGTACAGAAGGAATATGTCCAAGCTGCACTGAAGGCACTGGCAAAAACAAGGCTCCAGGAATTGATGGAACACAAATTGAAATGTTTCAACAAACTGATGCAGTGCTAGAAGTGCTCACTTATCTATAACAGTAAATCTGAAAGACAGCCAGCTGACCAACTGACCAGAGGAGATCCATCAGATTCATGCCCATTCCAAAGAAAGATGATCCAGCAAAATGCAGACATTATTGAATACTGTCATTAATATCACACACAAGTAAAATTCTTCTGAAGGTAATCCAAAATTGGCTACAGCAGCACACCGGCACGGAATGCCAGAAATTCAAGCAGGATTCAGAAGGAGATGTGAATGTGGAATGTCATTACTGATACCAGATGTATTTTGGCTGAAAACAAAGAATACCAGAAAGGTGTTTACTTGTGTTTTGACTAAGCTATGGTCTTCATCTGTATAGATCATAACAAAGTATGGCTAACATTGCAAAGAATGAAAATGCCAGAACACTTCAATATGTTCATGAGGAACCTGCACATAGACCAAGAGGCAGTTGTTCACATACAACAAGGGGACACTGTATTGTTTAAAAATTTTTTAAAAGTCTGTGTCACCATACTTCTTCAATCTGAAAACTGAGCAAGTAATCTGAGAAGTTAGCCCATGTGAAGAAGAATGTACAATCAGGATTGGAAGAAGTCTCATTATCAACCTGTGACATGCAGATGATACAACCTTGCTTGCTACAAGTGAAGAGGACTTGAAGCACGTACTGTGTGGTGATGAATTTCAAAGACTACAGCCTTCAGTAGGGAATTACACTTAAACACACAAAAAAACAAAAATCCACATAACTAGGTCAATAAACAACATCATGGTAAATGGAGAAAAGAATGAAGTTGTCAAGGATTTCATTTTACTTAGATCCAAAATCAATTCTCATGGAAATTTTTGTTCCAACATGGAGTCGGTTCCCACTCATGGTGACCCTGCACAGGGTTTCCGAGGCTGTAAATCTTGATGGGAGCAGAAAGCCTCATCTTTCTCCCGCGGAACAGCTAGGAGTTTCGAACTGCCAACCTTGAGGTTAGCAGCCCGATTTGTAACCACTACGCTACATGGAAGTAACAGTCAATAAATCAGTGACCAAACAGTAAGCACATTTGTCTGACCTCTTTAAATTTTTTGAAAAACAAAGTTGTCACTTTGAGGATTAAGATGAGCCTGGTCCAAGCCATGGTATTTTTCATTACCTTATATGCATGTGAAATCTGAACAATAAATAAGAAAGACTGAAGAAAAATGGATGCATTTGAATTATAGTGTTGGCAAACAATATTGATTATACAAGTCAACCATCAAAGAGACACTTGGCACTTTAGGCTGACATAGCAATCATGTGACTCAAAAGACAAGTGGGATGTACTCTAGCTAAGAGTGGTGTTTCTATTCCTCCTGTAAATGCCACCAGTGCAGAGCCACTAGATTGTTAAATAAACATGCTAAATCATTACATATCAAGAAAACTGGTTTTGAAGACAGACTAATTTAGGTTTTCATCTCTGGTTTACCACTTTACCAGCTCAGTAGACTTGCATAAATTATTTAACTTGTATATAAACATGTCTCTTTTTTCTCAGTAGAATGAGAAATAACCACTTTTTAGATTGTTTTCAGGCTTAAATTAAATGGAACAATGCATATAAAATCCCAGCAAAATGCTTGTGATAGCTCATTCACTCAATCAATGTCTTTTAAAACAGGAGATGCAAAATTTAATTTCTGGTAATACTGGCTTTGTTCTTACTAGGTGTTCTCCTTTTCTGTATTTTATTCCTCATTTTTATTCATTGACTTTGACAGCTATTCTGGTTGTGGAGTTTATAATGATTGAGAGAAAGGGCCT